TTCAAGCCGACTTAGCATTTCCTTTGCAGTCAGTAATTTCATTATTAGGTACCCGAGATCAGATTATGGATTTGGGATTAATTGGCAGAAGTTTCCATGAGATTTTACCCATATATACTGAGAAGTTTCTCTGATGCCTCTGGTGTTTCTTCACTATATTTTAAGAGGATTCTACCCTTGAGAAGGCAATATAGTCTAAAAAAATAAAAAAAATAGGAGTGAGGTAAAACTTGAATACAGTCTAGTTCAGATGTTTTTATAAAGTCTTGTAGACTTCTCTCCACAAACCATTAGGTCGTAATTGCCTCACTAATGTTATTTTATATAGTAACTGCAGTTCCTAACTCCTGATATTATGGCACCCAATGGGATGAAAGTAGGCACTTAACTTTACCGTGCACTGTACTGTAACCTTTTCAGTCCCTGATTATTATTCTGTCAACGCACACTTGTTCATTATTACTTAAAGGTGTTGTCCCTTGCACCAGGATGACACACTGCTGTGTAAATTAGAGCCATAACTAACCTGTTTCAGTGCTGAAGCAAACGCCTTTCCTCTGACAAGCTATGAATTAAGAGCTTCTCTTGTCCCCGTGGAAGGAGCCTTTCTCCTTCATTCCTAATAAGGACAATGCTGAGATGGATTTAAAAGGTTCTTTTCTGTGAAAAGAGTTGATCTGTGATAATCTCCTATAATCTGAAGTCTAGGAGCAAACTCAGCACTAGGCCTGGATTGTAAATCCACTTTCTTACTCTCTCTTTTTTTTTTTTTTTTTTTAATTTCGGAAGTCTTTTAAATATAGTCCCTTTCTCTTCAACAAGGGACATTAAGGAAGTGCCTTTCCAATTAACATTCAAATTACATTAATTATTATTAATCTCAGTTCCAGTAATTGCATTCCTTCTTCATAGCCCTTTTGGAAATTATATGCTGTTAGGCTACAAACTGCATGTTTGCAATATATGCTACCCTCACAGTTGATTTTCTTTCCCTATGCATGCAGCAGATGTTGTGCAGTTCAGGAAACATCATTATTTTCATTTTAACTGACCATTAAAGCTCTTAGAATTACATTTTCCAAGTAAATCATTCAATGAACTTGATTTGTTCTGTTCTTGTTTTGTTTTCATTCATGAATTACTTCTGAACTACCCTAATTTTAGCAAATATTTGTCTAATTTGCACATCGTTTTGGAAGAAAAGATGTTATTCTAGGATTTATGCTTATATTGCTAATTTCAGCTATTACATTCCCCATGTAGCCATTTGTGATAGATCAAATGTTATTACTGTGTTATTACTGCTACTCCCTTGCTGGATGGGAATAACTTTTTATGTGGCCAAGTAATGAAGACATGATGAACAGCAAATAATGAATGGAGAGTACTTGTACTCATGTGGGAGTTCTGTATGCTAATACAGGCAGTGGTAAAAGGACCATTCCCCACATAATCATATGAATGAAAAATAAGTGACATGAACATACATTAATTGGAGACAACACAGGATGGGCAAGCCATGCTGGAACCAAACACGTTATGAGTCTGGCTGGGTTTTCACCACTGCAGGTGATAAAGAGAGCCTGATTTCCTCATCATCTACTTTTCAACAAGTAAAAAGTATCAGGGATAAAAATAGTTAAAAACAGACTTCTACCAGCACAGGAAAAGACCATACCCCAACTGTTTTGGGGAGGTCTACTCAACAAATCTCTTTGAGTGTGCTAAAGATGACAGGATGACAGAAAAGGAGACAAAAATGTGGACCTAAGGAAGCACTGTTGCAACCTGTAAAGCTGCTGCAATCTATATAGGTCTCTAGCATTGATTATATTACTTGGGAGGTTATGAGGCTGGCTAAGGTCAGAAAAATGCAGCTCTATCTCTGTTCAGCACATTTGGGGCTGAAATTTTGTGCAGAAAGCACATATTAACATTTCTGTGAAGGGTTATTTCATATTTAGCTTTATGAAATAGAACCATAGAATAGCTTGAGTTGGAAAGGAGCTTTGAAAGTCATCTGGTGTAACTTCTCTGCAATGAAAGGGATACATACAGCTAGATCACGTTGCTCAAAGCCCAGTCCAACCTGGCCTTGAATGTCTCCAGGGATGAGGGATATCCACTACCTTTCTGGGTAACCTATTCCAGTTCTTGACTTCTTGTCATAAACTTTTTTTTTTTTTTTAAATATCCAATATAAATCTCTTCTCCTTTAGTTTGAAAACACTTCCTCGTGTCCAATCACAGCATACCCAGTTAAACAGTCTGTCCCATTCTTTCTTATAGCCTCCCTTTAGATATTGAAAGGCTGCTCTCAGGTCTCCCTGGAGCTGCCTTCGCTCCAGGCAGAAAAGCCTCACAACTCTCATCTTTGCCTCGTAGGGGAGATATTTCCTCCTATTTCCTCCCTTGGATCATTTTTGTAGCCCTCCTCTAAAAGCACTTCAAAAATTATCCCACTGCAAATTGTAGATTTTTCTTGGTGCGTTCTGGAGAGGATTTGGCCAAACAGGATTTCATGCCAAACAAGAAGTATAGTTGCTTGTAATCACCACAAGTAATATGGATAAGGGGAACACTTCACACTGCTTTGTATTTACAGAAATGAATTTATGTATACATATATGAACTGGATATATAATGATTAGCTCATTAGAACTAGTCTCAAAAATAGCCAAAAGGGTATGGGAACTTCTCCTGACTAAAATGAGATCCAGGTCACCTGTCCTAGAGATTAATTGTGGAGCTCATCACTAGGTGTAATCCATATTAATGCCATATGCAATTTAACCGTAGTGTCATTAACAGTAAATCTAACATACCTGACATAGTAATACCTTTCAGCTGTTTGAAATCTAGGTCACCAATTTGATGTTCCCAAGGGAGAACAAAAAACCTATAGCTTGTTTTCTATATGAAACAATAACAAAACAATGGGTCAGTGTTTTCACTGTTTGTTTTAAGCTTTGGTGTTGTGTTTTTTTGTTGTTTTTTTTTTTTTTGGTTTTTTTTTTTTTTCCTAAAATTGTCCAGAAAGAGCCATTGCTGAACTAATCAAGAGTGAAGAGCTAGCAAGGCCCTAAGTATTGAAATACATTCATCCCATCTCTTGGAAGAGCACTGAGTGGTAACAAATGCTTCTCAGAAAACTTGAGTCCTCAGTTTGAGAACGATGAAGGAGCTCCATTCAGCTAATTCTTTGTTTTTTTAATCAAATTAGCTAATTATTTGTTAATTATCAGCCAACTGTCAGTTGGGCTTAGGTGTATAGCAAATAAAAAAGTATCCTCTCTCCTGAAATCAAGTGATAAATTAGTGAAGAAAGGGAATGGAAGAGGTAAGGAACGTGGTGAGGAGGAGGTTCTGATTCCCAGAAGGCTAAATAAAGATAGCAGAAGCAGGGTCCTCCAGCTTCTGTAAATTACTCTTATCAAGGAAAGATAAGTTCCTCAATCACATTCAGCCTTATGCTTGGTGGTCTTTCCTGGAGGAAGTCCAGCTGAGGTGGCTCTGACCCGCAGACTCCAGCCAGCCTTTGGTTGCCAGCAGCACACTGATCTGGGTGCCCAGCAGGTTGCAGACAGCTGTAGCCCAGGAGCTGCAGCCAAAGCTGCCTTGCTCTCATCTGTATTCATGACTTCTAACCAATGCTAACCATTAGCCAACACTCAGCATATCGCAGACAGTTACATTTCAATCATTTGAATCTGTGTAGTCATTTTGGATCTGTTTGTGTAGCAACCCAACCAAATAGCAAGCTGAGGCTCTCTGGCAGCTGTTGAAAGCATTTGTACTAACGACTCACAGACAGACCGCATTTTCATGTGCCTACTGAGCTTTGCACTGGCCTTGCAACCCAGCTGTAAAGATCCACAATCCCATTGAGCTTTCTTTGACAGAAATCTGTCATCTTATATCCTCTATTAACAAGAAGACAGTCTTCTAGGGACAGCAGCTTACCTGGACAGAATCAGTACTATACTGAGTGTTTTCTGTGTGTCTTCTCCAGATATCACTATACAATCTGGCACAGTGCAATGAAGTATCCTGGAAGGTGAAATTGTTCTTCTATTCAAATTTCGCGTTATATCCAGAGCAGTATTTGAATGGAAAAGAGAATGGTTGGTCTTCTGTTTCTCAAAATGAAATGAGAAAGGTACTTCTTGAGGTGATGGTGGTTTCTGTTGGTTTGGTTTCTTTTGTTTCTTTGTTTTTAATTTGTTTCTGTTTTATGGCACAGTTTCTGCTTTGATATAGTTGCTACTGATTCTGTTGTTGCTGTATATTTGGTCTCCAGTGAAATATTAAGACAGACAGGAGGTGCACTTTGGCCTTCTTGCAGATGAGGACTTCTGCCATCATCTCCACAAACACACGTCTGTGCATTTCCACACTCCTCTACAATGCCCTCCCAGTTGACAAGAGATTTTTCCTCAAAGTCAGGTTTGACAGGCTCAGAGGCAGAAGCTCTGAAACAAGAAGAGTAATTCAAAAATCGCTTTTGTTCCAGTTTTGATTGTCAGGGTATGAATTTCAGAAGAAGTTCTTTGCTTCCTTATGGAGATTAGGATAAAGGCTTAGTCTCTCGGGCTCTGAGGCAAAGATTTAGGGAGTTTTCCTGAAGTGACCAGTGCCAAATTCTATCACAGGATACTCAAATAGAGAAATCTATTACACTAGTGAGGTATGTGTTCTTACATGACCATGCCTCCTGTTCATGCTGTGATCTGTGCAGTGGTCCCTTTCTGGAGATCCCACTTCATCTAGGCCAGCCTTTGTGTATGACACCTATTCCAGCAGTGACCAGCATGCATCTGTCTGCTGCAATAACATCTGGATCATTTCAGCCCACTGACTGCCATTTTATATCAGATATGCAGGCCTAGTTATTTGTAGTTTCACATCTCTGAGTCATGTTCAAAGGAAGCAAGATTAACACATCCTCTCTCTGGATTTGTTTCATCCTCATTACCATAGGGTAAAAAGTAGATGTTTCACAGCATGCAGCCTTGCCTATGTCTTATCAAATGCTACATTTCATACCAATGTACCAATAACATCAGCAAAGACAGCCAACATCCTTGAAACAACAGAGTCTATTTTTTAAATCTGTGCAGACAAGTATCTTGTGATTAACAGCTTGTTATTAAAATATTTCTGAATTGTTAATTGCTGAGAAGAGGATAGGAGTATTAACACTTTAAAAATAAATTAGTTCCATTGAAAGAAACCTGAGATGTATCATTAGAGGCATCCATTCAATTTATCATTGCTTGACAAATATTATTGGCAAACATGGCAGTATAGCATTGTTAGAATTGTCTGGCACATTCCCTTGGAGCTCTGTCTTTCTATAGCCAAACTTTTATTTGGAAAATTTCAGCCAAAATGATTCTGCTGTTTGTAAGAGAAAAAGAAGGAGAAAAAAAAAAAAAAATAAAAAAATAAAAAAAAAAAAAAATTCCTTTTTCTTATATTAAAAAACAAAACCAGAGAGAGCAAGCATAAGACACTTTATGAAATGTTCTTGTGGTGTTTGTACTTTGAAGTTCAACCTAGATAATTTGCAAGTGGTGGGACACTCTCTTGGATGTGCCTTGTGTTATTCTTCAAGAACGTTACAGAGACCTGCTCTAGCCAAAAGCCTGCAGAAAACATGCACCACAAAGACCTCATTAAATTTGTTAGTAAAAATTCATGGAGATTATACATTCTTCATCTCCTCACAGCTCCTGCATGTGTTTTCAGTACACATGCATCACCCTTGTAACGGAGCAACTGAACTGCCTACAGTTAAGAGCTATGGGTTTCCCCTGCCCATGGTAGCTTGATACTACAATAGCACTGGAGCTGAGGGCTTACCTCTCATGGGAGCTCTACATGGAGAACTACCAGGAACCATGGAAGGAGTGGGGAAAAAAAAGGATACGGCAGTAGAAAAAGAGATTAGACTAAAACCAAGAATGTGATAAAACTCTAGGTAATAAAAATTAGATGCACTCTTGGGGTTTGTGAGTGTAAGAGGTTTCAAGCAATAAAGATGAGGAGTACTGAAACGCACTTGTTTGGAAAGACTAAATGAGCCCTACGTCTTCGGTGGCATTATCAGTGATGATGTTTTTCTGGTTTTTTTGTTTGTTTGTTTTTTCCCCTCTGTATAGTAAATGAATATATAGATGCTATAACTATGAAATAAACCAAAGAGTTTAGCAAAGCAGATACTAATAACAAAAAGAGAATAGATAGAAAGCTTACCTGCATCCCAGGCTTGCTGCAAAACTCCAGAGGAGGGATCTCCAGATGAGATCCTTTCCCACTGATAGTCAGCTCTTAAATGGGTCTAAGAGAGGTGGAGCCAGGCTCCACCCCTTCCGGCAGTACAGGTGAATTGCCTTCACCTGTGCTCCTGTGCTGACTCATTGCTTGCCCCAGGTGATCAATCAGAGGTTCAGGCCATGATTCAGCAGTTACCATACATTCTCCCATCAAAATTGCCTGCACAAATGTGGAAAAATTTTTTTTTTAAAATCAGTGTTACAAAGGCTGACCATTCAGTAAATTCCAGGTGTAATGTGAATCTTGTGGGCAAGTGTGCAGGAAGTCTCTACTCCTAAGGTTAAATGTACTTTTGCACAAATCCTCATCTGCTGCAGGTCTTGTCCTTCCCTGCAGATTGTCTGATGCCTGTTTCTGTACTGGCACGGCCAGGGGCTGACTCCTATTTTACTGATCTGCACAGCATCAAGAACAATCAGACTGTGATGACCAACCCTGCAATCTGACAAGTAATTAATGGAGCACTCCTCTTGTGTTTGCAGACTGAAGTTCATGGATTGTAAATCCAGAATGCACTTTCTCCTAGTGGAGGGTGTGGAATATCACTGTTTCTGTGTTCAGGCTCCTTTTATGACTGAGTTTAACATCTGATGCAGCTGACTCGTCCTCCCAAAATCCAAGCCAGCCAACAAAAGAATCAGTTTGTCAGCATAACCAGGAACAGTACAAAACAGTTGCTGCCTATGTCTCACTGCAAAACAAAAATTCTCACTTTTTATAGCATGTGTTGGAAGAACTGGGTGAATAAGTGCCCTAACATAGGAGTCTCTGCTGCAGTCACGTGAAACCCCTCACCTTGAGTTAAGTTCTTTTGAAGCACTGAACTCCACCAGCTGGGATGAGATGTAAATTATCAGTTAATTTTCCTAAAATAGGAGGCTTTTGGTCTCTTTTTCATCTCATTAGTATTTCATTTTAAAAGAAAAAAAAAAAAAGAAATTCCATCATTACCAAACAGGAAAATCTGTGTATAACTAACCATAAAGTTAAAGAGCAAAACATAGACATGTGTGCTTGTGTTTACATAAACATGTATGCATGAATACAAATGCAAAAACATGCTGTTATATCTATATCTCTCTATATATTTATATCTGTGGCATTTGCCATCTGTTAGCAGTGTAATACTGGAAATAAGCATCTGGCACTGTTTCATATAGTAGGGCCTTTTGACAGCTGATGCTAGGGAATGCTGTATCTTTGGGGATTACCAAATAATTAATTAGGAGTAGGTAAACATACTGCAGAACACAAAATTCCTATACTGAAAGCAAGAATGTCAAGGTACTCTTAGATTTATTTTTCATCTGGCATACAGCCTAACATCAGATTTAATGCTTTTTGGCGAGATGCCCTGACTGTGTTTAGGGCAATTTTTGTTAAAAGTGAACCATAAAATATGTTAATAATGTTACTTGTTAATTTTGCATCTACATTATTATTACAACTCCACAATTGCCCAGGTAGTTAACTGTAAACACTGAAAACAGTGCAGAGAGAATCATTGAGTTTATTTCTCTGGAAATAAACTGCAAGAAGATGTGTGCTGCATGAACCATATGGTATGCTATGTGTTACCCATGGGTTAATGGTTACAGAGCACTGGAAACAGATGTGACATTTGAGCTATTCAAAGGCTAAAATGTTTTCTTCCTTATCAGATGGAATTATTCATTGGTTTCCAGGTTCAAAAGTGTTTAAATCACTGCTGCATTTACTGCACTTATTCAGACACCTCCAAGGGCTCTTTTTGGTCATATGTCTTTGCAACCCTTTGCTGGGTGTAGTGTGTGAATGAAACAAGCTGTCTCTTGGAACGCTATTTCCTTCTGTTTCCAGAGCAAATCAATCTTATACTGTGGGATTTGAACAGCTTCAGCTAAGGGAATGGTACAACCTTTCAATATTATATCATGTAAAGCCTAGATACTTTTCATTGCTTTGTTGTTATACATTGATTTTTGAATGAATTAATCAAAATTGTAGCCAGGAATTGGGTGGAGATTGGAAACATAGATCATCTTCCCCAAAGGGGAAGGGAAAAGCATATCAGTTGCTGTCCTGTAGAGCTGGCAGTCAGAAAAGACATTTGAAACAAGGAATACAGTCCAAGTTATGAAATTTGTAAGGAGGACACAAATAATATGGTCTGCTTTGCTACAATTCTATATGTACACAGACAGACACATACACACATAGATTTCATGCTCAAATTGACCATTTGGTTCCTAACAAACGCCATGTCACGTGCACTCCATCTCATCATGTTTCAGAAATTTCCGTTTTGTCATCTTTTTTACTAGGATGATATTTTCACTATGATACAGGAAGCTCAGCTTCTCAACCAGGTATGGAAAACATGTATTGCGCTCAGAAAATGAGTATGTGTATATATATAATTTTACTAGCCACTGATGTGTAGTTGCCCTCAGAAATGGAGCAAGAAATATCTCTGCCATGCAACAGCAATATAGAGAAATAATCAAATCCAGAGATGCTGAATGAGATGCACCTGTGGAAACAGAGGCAAATGTACCAAGAGAAAGAGCTTGCTAAGAATGTGAGGGGGAGGAACTTGGGGGTTACAGTCCTGCACTAGCAATTAGGGCATGGTTACAGGATGTAATCAAAAAGCATTGTTTTTGGCAGTGCTGAAACACTCAGAGTTGTACAGGGGAAGCTGCAGACTAATTTGAGAGGACTTGATGGCTGTGAGAGCAGGGCCATGGCTGGTTGCGCATGGACACTGTTACCCTATCAGGTGCTTCAGCGCTGGCGCCATCACGCCAGGTTGGTTCTAACCTTCTCCCAGGGCTGTTCACTTGCTGATTTGTTGTGTGGCTCCCTGCCCCATGTACAACTTCCTTGGTCGTGTTCGTCCCAAATGTTGTGAGTACCAAAGGCAACAATTGTTGGGCATTCATTTCATTTTGCTCACAATGTGCAAATATGCTGATGTGGATCAAGCCTCATCCATTAAAACTAAATGAATTGAAATCATGATTAACAGTAATAAATACAGCTGTTAGATTGTGCACTTTATTACCTGGGTTCTTTGGCAGCTATCCATTATTTTAAAGCAGCATCTGTTGACATACTCTAATCCTATGTGAGAAAGTGAAATAGATGCTTTGCTTTTTAATAAAGAGTGTAAGATACTGCTTTTGAAAATTCATGACTGCATATGCTACTAATCCTGATGATGAACTCAACAGCTAAATTAAAAACAACCCAAACATCATGCCCAAAGGGAAACAGCATCATGATAAACTGTAGTTGAACCACACCACAGCGTAATAAGGAAAAGAAAAATCAATACATGAACCTCTTTAAGAGTCTTCAGTGCAACATAAATGTAAATGTCGTTAATAGGAAGCTGCCATCTGGACAGTTGGATAATGTAGATTCTGGCAATAGAGGTGCCATTCCTCTTGGAAAGCACAAGAAAATCAGACTTTGAAAGATGTTGCAAACAAAGTTTTACTGAATCTCTTTTGAATATATTAAAGTTGGCTATGAGAAAAAGCTTGCAAAGCCATCAAAAAGGTTTCCTCTTCTTCATGTTTTGGATCAGGGCAGAGATCACTGTTCTCTATATTAGCGATATAAATGTGTACAAATATGACCACAGGAAAAAAAAAAAAAAGGTGAGATGCCTTTTTAAAAGATCTTTTCTCTAAAAAGGAGATTGTATTCCAAAAGAGTCTGTATTATGGGATTCCTACTTCATATATGTAAAACCCTGAAGTCAAAGATAGTTTACAGGAGAGAGAAAGCAAACATATTTTTAAGACCTTTTTTTAAACGATCACCGCTCCTTGTTTAGGTTTCATAGAAGACCGCAGAACAGCAAATAAATGAAAAGCAGGTACTTTTCCCCAAGAATATTTTTACTGTACATTTTGTAGCAAAAAAAAAAAAAAAAGAAAAAGAAAAAGGAAAAAGGAAAAAATATTCCGATCACAGGGATGTCATTTCTAAAACTCCAAGTAGGAAACATGACAAATACAAGATCAAGTACACAGCCATGTCACAATATATCTCTGCACCTTTAAAAAAAATATACATAGAGTTTTTTTCATGTGTTATTTGCTCTGTGCCCTGACCCTTTCCCCACATCTTTTACAAAATCATAGGAACTATGTGCAATTTCAGAATGGTTCCCAGCAGCTGATCATTGGCAGCCAACAAATTAATAAACAAGGACAGTTGCAGTAGCCACCAGAATGCTGGAAATCACAGTCTAGTCACCGAGGACAATAAAGTCACCGACGGCAATGGACCATGTGCATTTCCAAAACCACAGAAATGCTCCCCAACAAGGAATCTGAGAATCAGTTTACAAGCACTGAAGAGCTTATGTTCTTAGTTAACAAATAGGTTAGGGTGAGGGACAGGGGCGCTTGGGTACGTAGGAAAGGCTGTTTGTGTGCAGGGGACACGTGGGATCCTTGTCCTGACACTCAAATTTAACTCTTTTTATGTGGCTAATTGGGAACATATCCAATCCCCTAAAACACATAAAAACTTACATTTCATGTGATGCTAGTGGTACAGTCAAGCTGTGTCATGGAGACTGTAGAAGGAGCTTTTGTCACATTAGGGTGGAAAACTGTGTTCTCTTCGTCAGTTGAGTAGAGAGTGACAGCGTGACCTTTGCCAGAAGCAACTGGCATTCATAATGTAGACTGTTCATGGGAGACACTTTGGTTTTCCCTTTCTTTTTCCTTTACTATGAAGTCTTGATAACAACTTTTTGCATCTTTGTTAGCAAAACCCCCAGAGATACCAATAGTTGCTGCAATCTGCCTTAAGCCCTGACAAGCAGAGAATATGAAGAAGATAGAAGAGGAGGACTTTTTAAAAACTTATCAGGCCCTGGATTTTAATTTTTCTAGGACATGAAGTGGTAGTATCAGAGGTGGGTTACACAGAACTTCAGAAATTTGACCTTTTTACGGATCCTCCTTTCCATCCAGGGGATTTACTGGGAGACTGAAAACTAAACAAAAAATGGAAAACATGGAAACAGACTTTCTGCTGGGAAAGAAAAAACAGAAACCATCAAAACAAAACAGCCCAGAAGCACTCACAAGGCAAAACAAAACAAAAAATCAGCAAATCCCAAACCAAAAGCCCATTCGACAGGTATTGTTATTTTCCCAGATGTCACAGTTAACGCTACAAGATAAACAATTTGCTTTAATCTGTCCCTGCAGATGCCCTGCCTGTGCATCTGAGAAAGTCATTCGCAATAATAACCAGATGCATCCTAGCACCAGTCTTACATCCACAGAAGTGCATTTCTGTGGATAAAAGAGTTGCCCTTATATAAAAAAAGAAAACCTTTAAATTTATGCTCTTAAACCCCTTTTCATCCTCTGTTTAATCTTGTTTGACAGTTCACCAAGAATTTGAAAAACTTTTGGAAAGCAATGATAAATACAACAGTAAATTTCTTGAAACATTCACACGTTTCAGCTGGGGACCAACAGGAACAGTACCATATGTGCCTATTCACATTACAAGACCTTCTTTCTCTTTCAGCATCCCAATTACTTATTTATTTACCTATCCGTTTTGCCAGTACAACTGAAAACATTTCCTCCCCTCTCTTTCCAAATGCAGCAGCAGCATGCTACTGCAGCAAACCACAATATATAACACATGAGTGGAGAAGATGGGGGGAGACTTTGATATTTACACTGTGCTTTCCATTACCCACTCTGAACTCCCGTAAGTCCCTTTTGCCCCTGTTAGGTCATTGTCATCGTACTGTAAAAGCATGCCATTCACCGAGAGGCTCCTCTTTGTCCAAATGTTCGTTATCTTTTTTGGGTAGGTACAACACTGAGATGTAGCAAAGTCCCCCATGTCAAAAGAATGGCTACGTTTAGTTTTGCCCTCCAGAGGTAACATGAGGAGGCTGCGAAATTTGGACTCCGGCTGGCCCAGCAGTGGTTCTTTGTCTGAATGGCGGGCCGCCGTGGAAGTTCTGGAGTCTGTCGTCTCCTCCTTTTTCTGACATTTCAGTTCCAGGGAGGCAAAAGCTCCCATTAGACGGTCAATGTTGTGTTTTGACCTCGAGGGGGGCCTCCACTTACTGGACAATGTGCCCTGTTCACTTTGGAGGCTATAGTTATCACAGTCACGGCTATTCATAGAGCTGGAAGAAGAGGAGATGCTGCTTCTCACAGACCCAGAGTTAAACTCCATAAGTTCGTTTCTCACCACCACTTTGGGGTTGACTTGGGGCAGGACTCCATTTTGAACCGGTTGTGCTCCATTTGTCTGTGAGTAGACGTTGCTGACGTTGGACATCTTCCCTTGGGAGTTGTTGCAGACCTTGTAGCGGACCATCAGTATTACAATGAACACCAACAGAGTTGCCACAATGATGCCCCCAATGATCAGAATCATGGTCCCACCCAGGAAATGGCTGTGCATCGACTGGCACTGAGGGTAGTCTTCTTTGGTGAAGAACTGGGCGCACCCTACAATATTGGTGGCAGTAAGAGTAGTGGCGGTGTCATCCCACATTGCCAGAACACAGAGGTCATAGCCTGTTCCAGAAACAAGGTTGTTTACGACAAATGCTTTGTTTGTAGCAGGAATCATCCTTTAAGAAGAAAAGAAAAAAAAAAAAAGAAGATAAAAGAAAAAATATGTTACTGAGGAAAATGAGGAAACAAGAGAACAGTCATGGGAACAGTGTGTGAGCTGGCAGGAAGGACTCAGAGCCATAAAATTCAAACAAGCATTCAAACTTCCTGGTTCTTGTGGGTCCAACAACCCAGTATTCAGGAATACAGAAGTTTTGAAGGCCAACTCTCAAATGTACAACAAAGGGAGTAAGGAAAACCAAAGCAAAGCAGTCTGCTCCTTTTCTCTCCTTTCTTGTACTGATCTTAAATACATTTAAACCTGAACAAATAATTCAGAATAAAAGTACATGCCTACCAAGAGCGGTTCTTTCTGAGTGTGCAAATGACCATTGCATTTCCTAAGTCTGAACCTGGCAGTCGTGACAGCGCTTCATGGGTGCCTGAATGTGTACTGTATAACTCTGGTAGGTTGCTTACCTTGTGAGGACAAGAGGCTACATTTAGTTTTAGCGTTCCTTGAGAATGCAGGGCAGGCAGCCTCTCCTGCTTCGGAGAAAAAGAAATATTGGCATTCTCAGTGGCTGAGAATAAAACCAGAGGTGCCCCTTGCCTTTTTTTTCTCTTTACTGCCACATAATTACAGGCTCGAGGGAGAGAAAATAGCTGAAATTAGAAACAGTCCATTCTGACTTAGAGATGCAGATCTTTAGCACAGGCAACAATGTGCAACACAGAGCAAGCTGGCATGAGTGTAACTGGGATGGTAAGGCATGGCCATAGGAAAAAGGCATACTCCTGGGTGTGCCAGGATTTCCTAGCCTCAAACAACCTTCACAGACAGCACACATTACAACACTCCAGGGACCTCTCAGTGCAGTGGGAGGGAATAGACCTGCACAGAGAAGCAGCATCAGGGCACTACAAAGGTGAGTATCTGATCATCTCTGCATCTGTGCATTCCTGCACTTAGACTTACTTAGACTGCACTTAAAATCACACCCGCCTGGCCACAGGCAACATTCTATTTCAATTTTAAAAAGCAAACACAGAAACAAACAAAAAAATTCTGCAGGTAAAAGTAATATCGATGAGAAAAACTTGGAGGATAACCTGGCAGATTTACTCAATGTTATATTTGAGATCCCTGTCACATTTATCATCATAATAGAGATGTTCTGCTCAAACACGGATGAACTATTCAGTATGAGATGAGAGGACATAAAGCAGCCCTCTTGGAAACTGCTGGGAACTATAGCTAAAATGACTACTAATAGCCACAGTGGCTGGTCTCGAGTCATTTCTAATTGTCCTCCTCTCTGTGTGGCTCTGACAACAACACACAGCTGGCACAACAGCATGGGGGCCACGCCTGCACACTACTGAATTGTTCAAGGAACAGTTTTGTACCATCTTCATAACTAAAATCCACAGACCACAGCACTTATTGTTCCTGTGTGTTACTCTATTTCTCCCTTCTACCTTCAGTTATTATTATAGTTCACCATAGTATTATCAGGCCTGGGAATAAGTGTAACAGTAGGACACCTATTTCATCTATTTCTATCTGACACATATTCTCACATTTTCCAGATGATCTGCAAGTGGAGACATACTGAAAATCTTCATGGAAGGTCTGCTGCTGCTGATTATAATGCCTCTGCATTTATTGTCAATGCAGACCCTGCAACCAGCTCTTTTCTTCATCTGTCCCAGGTCCCACAAACTCAGAAACTCTCCTACAGGGGGATGTCATCTATCTCACACTTTGCTCTGCTCCATTCTTATTTGTCTTCCATAGATTTCATAGTCCCAATCCTGCTAAGGGAATGTCATATACACAAACCAAGGATGGTACACAGAATAAAAGAATCAAGCTTCAATTACAAGATCTTCAAGCTCATGAGCAGTTTCACCAGTTGCTTCATCTCTCCTGTATTAGTGTGCTATAGTCCACTTTCCACTCTGTCAGCTACATGCTTACAAAAAATCTGCAGGGCATAAGGCCTTCAGAAATATTTTCATTATGAAAGATCACTGCAAAGAAAAATAGCACTGTTAGCAGAAAGAATAGACAGCCCTGTAAAACTGAGTCTCAGTCTTGGATCATAACTCACAAGAAACAGAGTTATAGCACCATCTGCTAGAGTGCTTCCTTTTGCTTTACACTGATTAAACACAGAGAGATCTTTTTATTCTCTTTGAGCAAACAGCAAACAACTGAGTTTACATAGCATATACACTTGCACATATCTTACACGAATAGAAATATAGTATTTCAGCTTAACACTCCATGCTAATTTATACAGAATGAACACTAGTAACCTTAATCATTTACAACTTGTTTTCTTCATATCTGATTACATGCAAGCTTTCAAGGAAATGTAGCTACTTGGAACATTTCAAAGGGTGGAAGTGGGTGATAGTGGCCATGATGGAGCCAGTCCATGTGAAAAAAGAGCAACAGTGAGGCCAAAACCAGGCCTAAAACATGGATAGGTTAGTTGCCTTGAAACTTGTCATAAATGCTCCTCTTAGTCTTTGAAAGAAATGGAGTCATTTCTAAGCTCAGTCAGTCCTGGGAGCTACGGCTGTGATAATATTGCTACTAATAATAGCTTTATAAAAGAACATAGTTGTAATCCCAGTTATGGAAAAAGCAATCAACTCTCCATGTACATCTAAAATGAAGATTTCTGGATGTTTCTGTAAATAAACTAAATGTTCTTGTAAAATGTTCAAATTAACATTATTGCATGAGAACAGCTGAGCATAGGAGTAGGCACCAAATTTAAGTCTACTAAGAGTTAAGTAATTAATCTCAGTTTTCAAGCTTGTAGGGAAGGTCTCATGTTCATGAAGCTGCCAAATTGAGAAAGTATTTCGATATTCCTTGTGTGCCTTACCTAGGCCTTCTCAGTCAGCTTGCCTACTAGACAGCTTTGATAGATGACATGTCTTAATGTTTCCCACACCTCAAATGCATAGGGACACATTTTCACCCTAGGATACCAATGACCATTCGATTGTCCAAGGCAGCATAGCTGCAAGATGTCACTTCAGTATATGCTTTGCTGCATGACAAGGGTATTCTCTTTGTGGCTGCTATACACATCCAGCACTGTTAGTCACGGATCATCATGCCCAGCAGTTGGGACTCAATAGTCAGGAGCTGCCACAAAAACAAAAGGGCTCTTTAAATCTGTGGGCCAGGCAGAGCTGCTGAAAGGCTTTGCTCAGTCAACTCAGGGCAACTAAACACAGAAAGATGGTTTCAGGTATTCTATTGCCTGGGTCTCCAGAGGACATTTTAAAAAAACAGCTTTATATCTTGAGGCAATGAGCTTGATATTGTTCACCACCTTTGCAGGACAGTGCAATCTTGCAGAGCTACTTCTTATCACAGAGTGGGAGTAAAGATCTAACTTTGATATTAGCCTTTCTTTAGGGAAGAAAAAAAAATAACTGCTGAGTAACTGCAAGAGAAAATCTACTAGAAAAACACCTGCTTAATTTTAAACTAATCCTAAGTTTTGATAGGTGTACAGTTTAAGAAGCCCAAGAATACTGAGGCCTGGGAAAGCAGTGTCCTCAACTGTGTTAACAAAATATGCATAGGGAGATAAGAGTTCCCAGGAAAGGATCTAAAACCAACAAGCTTTGGATAGAGAATCCACTTAACAAAAGGCATTTAAAATCTAAGTGAAAGAAGAAGAAATTTGGAAATATTTTCAAATTTTTATTTTCTCCTTATGAAATTTCACTGTTTATAAGACAATAATTTCAGTCTTTCTCCTCCAGTTTACTTTCTTTGTGGTGGGAACAGCAGGTAAATGTGTTCCACATTAGCACTTGAATTTGTTATCTGTCTTTTAAGGTAGATTCTGAATCATACCAGTGAAGATTAAAAATCCTCTTATAAGAACTTTGTTCCAATCTCTCAGAAAACCTTGCCTGTAAGGAATGAAACAAGCAAGGAGGTCTTACAGTTGACCTTCATAAGGAACAAAAAGCCCTATTCTCTCACCTTTTGCCACAGTATTGTCACTTATTGGAAGAGGAGGGGAGATATGGCCAGCACTGGGGCATGGCATTTGTGTGAAATAGACTATCAACAGATACATGCACCCATGTGTTATGAAGAGTTAGGAAGGTTAGAGGAAAGTTTTTGAACCTTTTACAAATTCATGGAGACTTCATGTCTCACTTTCTGAAAGCACAAAATTGAGACCATGACAAAAAAAAGCACAGTGTTACCACTTTCTTTGCATTCAACCTTATTTTATACCTTTGCTAAAATGTCCTTATTGCGTCCTTAAAAGAAATTTATAATTACTCTCTGTACTGTGTGGTGTTATTAAGAAAATCCAAAAATAAATGACTTAGAAATGCAGGAGAAAAAGAGTTGCTGCAAACTTCATACATAATCCCAGATCTGAGCGAGCACTGAAGCTTGCAGGCAGTGAACTGGTCTGAGAATTTAAGAGATCTGCATTTTATGCTCTACTTTATCACTTACATTGATATCAGGCTCTACTTTATCAGAAACTTTCAGTTCCTGAGAAACCATTTTGCTGTACTGTAAATCTCTTCATTTATAAAATGGGGATAATGCCAGCAATCTACTTTCAAAAGAAGCCTATGGTGTATGGGAGGAAATTAGCAGATATTATGATTACACTGTAATACACAAATGGATTCTTTTCTTCTTTGTAGCACTGGGGATTAGCAGTGAACTGCTGGTTAATACTGTGGCTATGCAAAACAGAGAAAGTAGAGAAAAGATAGATTAGGCTAATTGGCTAGGCAATTCCATTCCTTTTCTCCATCCATGAAAGGTGTGATACCATCTAGTTTTAGCCTGAAACTGCTTTAGTCACAGACCTTGCAGAAAGAAGTCAAGGTAGCTCCTTTGAGGAGGCATTTGCAACTCCCAAGACTCAGTTTTATGCTGACCTGCTAGACTACACTGCTTTTCTTGAAGTCCTATTTTTGTATTGTCCTGGGCTTTTCATTA